CTTTAAAAAAATAAAACTCATGTCTTTAGTTTTTGTAAAAATATCTATAGGTTAAAAATTCAAGTAGTCCTAATAATGTTATGAAAAAAAAAAAAAGCAGTTTCCCACCTGCCAAATTTCCTCTTCTCAGCAGCTACTTACAATTTCGGTCTTTAGATATTTACGTGTCTAAATCTATACTGTATTTCTTGAATTCCACCCCAGCCCCAATTTTAGGCATTTTCTATAGACTTCCCACTACAACAAATGACAATGTAGCTCTCTTTCAGCTCCTCCCCGCTAAGTAGGCCCCACCACATGTACAGACTTTATCTTCCTTTATACTCTCAATAAATTTTTATTCCTAGGTAGAAATGTGGTTAGATCTGTATTTACATTATTCTCACTATGTTAATGCTATTCATTGCTGGGTCATGGGATACACTATGATGAACTTGTCTTTCTTGCTTAACTTTTAATCTTCCAAGTAAATGATCATTGTCTTGCTTATTCTTGGCTTTTTTGCCCAATGTGCTTATTACAATGAAATCCAAGTTGTGCAATCTCTCTATAAGTTCACACTCATAAGGCAATCTATTAATTTCATTTGCTTAAAGTTTCTCCTGCACTGAACTATACTGGTTGGTCTGTAGGATTCTGCAGGCTGCCATCTTGAGCTCTTCATTCTCTTCTTGCATGTTTCCTTCATCTTACCAGTGAGCTGGACTCCTATTTCCCGGATCCTACATCACTTGCTTTCCCTGTTTACTCCCTTACTTTGGTTGAACTCTCCTGCTTATAAACTCAGCAAGGAAACATGCATACAAGGGAAATATGTTGTATTTCTTTCTCTATTGTTTTCTAATGTTCAATATGACTGTTAAGAAGTCCAATACCTTTCTGTTTTGTTTGTTTTGGCAGTGCTGGGGACTGAATCCAGGGCTTTGTTTAGGCTAGACAAGCACTCTACCACTGACCTATGTCCCCAGCTCACCATTCTTGTTCTTAATTCTTTGAAGAAACTATTTTACTTTTCCCTTTCTGGAATTTTAGAGACTTTTCTCTTTGTTCCCAGTGTTGTGAAATTTCATTTTATGTGCCTTGGTGTGGGTTTTCCCTATCCATTGTGCCAGCACTTGTTGTAAAGATTTTGGTCATGCAGATTTATTCCTATTTTTTCCTCTAAGGATTTTTAGTTTTAGGACTTTGACCCATTTTGAGCATTTTTTTTTTTTTTACATGACATACAGTTGGGATCCGACTTCATTTTTTTTTTTTTTAACATGTGGATATACAGTTGTCCCAGCACCATTTATTGAAAATATTATTCCTTACCCTTATTGAAATTTTTGACGCTTATATACAAACCAACTGACTAGATGTGAAGGTTTATTTGTAGATTCTCAATTCTATTCCACTAATGTATATGTCTATTCTTATGCCAATACCCACAGTCTTAATTACTTACTATAGTTTTGTAGTAGTTTTGAAATTTGAAAGTGTCTTTCAACGTTGTTCTTCATTTCAAGATTATTTTTGGCTATTCTCAGTTCCTTGAATTTCCATATGAATTTTAGAATAGGTTTGTTGATTTGTATAAAGATGCCATCTGGAATTTTGATAGGGATTTCACAAAATCTATAGGTAAATTTGGGGATGTTTTCATCTTTATAATAGTAAGTCTTCTGATCCTTTGAAGTTAGGATGTCTTTTCATTTACTTAAGTCTTGTTTAATATCTTCCAGGAATGTTGTTTAGTGTTCAGAATAAAAATTTTGCACTTCTCTGGTAAAGCCATTTCTAATTATTTTATTCTTATGGATGCTATTCCAATAAATCACATCAGTTTTTAAACCTACATTGACTTCTCTGAAACCTATAGTGTTTTAGTATTATAGTTTAGTTTTTTAATTTTAGTGGACATACATGTGACTTACAATCAACATCTTCTTCGATTCAATACAATATGGTATTAGATGTGAAATGTCTATAAAACATCAATGGAGATGAGCACTAGGCACTTGGATATATCAATAGGGAACCCAGAAGAACTACAGGCAGAAATGTGAGGGTCATCTTAAGTTTGATATATATATTTTTTTAATATTTATTTTTTTAGTTCTCAGCGGACATAACATCTTTGGTTGTATGTGGTGCTAAGGATCGAACCCGGGCCGCATGCATGCCAGGCGAGCGCGCTACCGCTTGAGCCACATCCCCAGCCCTTAAGTTTGATATTTAAAGCCACAACAATTAAGACTCTTTGAGGGAAAAGAGCACAGAGAAGACAAGAGGACCCAACCCCAAGGTTGCAGCCCAAGAAATTTATCTCAGCAAACAGAAGCTTAGTAGAAGAGAAGGAACCAGCAAAGGAAATGTTTTTGGGCTTATTGTCCTTATTGACAGAAGGCTCTACAGGGACAGGAGAGCCTTTTGCTCTCTAATAAACCCTCAAGTTGAACAGCTCACTACATTTAGATATTAACCTACATGCCAAAGATAAATTAGAAAAAGTCATTCAGAATATGTTTACTTGGAAAATGATATATTGATTCCTCACCAGCTCTTTTACCTCAGAAAATCCTACATGAATACAAATAAATAAAGCAACCTTTCAGGTCTTTAGAGAAGCATTTTAATCTGATTTTGATTGTGGACAGAAACTAAGCAAGTGCTTATTGCTCAATAACTTAGAGTAATTATATAAAGGCAGAAGAGAAAAACCAGTTAGAAGTACTGTGGCACTCACAATTAAAACCAGAAATGTGTACAAAAATCTCCTAAGGCATTCATATTCCATTTGCTGTCACATTTCTATAACATAAGCAGGCAACATAAGCAGGAAGGACATCAACTTGTAGTCATGCTAATTCATCTGCCTTTCATTTACCATTCATCACTTCACAGATGTGGAATTTTACCATTTCTATCCATCATTTAAAGTACCATATCCTCTAGGCAGTGGTTTTCAACCAGGGGAAATTCTAACCCCAGAGAACATTTGAAAACACCTAAAGACATATTTTTAGTCACAACTGAAGATGGGATGATACCAGCATCCAGTGGGTAGAAAGTAGGGATGTTGCTAAACATCCAACCATCCCCAGAACAGACTCCCACAACAAAGCATCATCCAACCTAAGTATCTGTGGTAACCCCACCTATAGGGGTAAGACTGTGAAAACCCACCTATAGGGGTAAGTTTTAATGTATATTTATATGTACATGAACTTTCTGGGGGCAAAGTCTATAACTTGTACTAAGTTCTCAAAGGAGATATAACTTATACACTGACTTTTATGACTACTTCATCTTGGCCATGGTAAAAAAAAAATGACATATTAATCCCACTTTAAAAACAGAAGTCACCTAATTAACAGAATTGACAGAAGGCTCTACAGGGATAGAACCTTGTCCCTTTTGCTCGCTAATAAACCCTCAAGTTGAATAGTTCACTACATTTAGATATTAACCTACATGCCAGAGATAAATTAGAAATTAAGACATTTATGCCAGCCAGATTTCACTGTCCCTTTCCACTGTCCACTGTTATTCATGATTTCCTATCTCTAGGTCCTCCAAGTAACCCATCCCTCAATTAGTAGGACCAAAACAACGATTGTGATTATGGTGACTAATGACTAAGCTACAGCTTCATGATATGACATAATTCATTCAATCAATATCCATTTATTCAACCACACTGCTAGTCACTGGGCATATGGTGATGAAAATGGATTTACAACTTAGTACCAGAAAGATATTAACAAAACTAACGAATAATTTAAAGCCAATAAGGGAGAATGTGAAAAGTGAGGGCGAGAGGCTGAATGGATGAGCAGAGGGGACTGCACATTCAAGATCACCGCGTACCATATTTCATTCAGTATTTTATCCACTTAAAATTCAATAGGCAACTAATTCCTTCCTGGCTAGTTTAAACAAGTCTGTGGCATCTATATGCCACTCCAGGTAATTTATAATATACTCTTATTCAACTAACATTTCCTAAATACTGACATATTTGGGAGACTCAAGACTAGGGACCAAGTGAGAACATCAAAAGCAAAAGCTTCCTTTGGGGAGAAGGCCTATTTATGAATCTAATTAGAAACCAAAGTGGTAAAGGGTTAAGACTAAAGTACATTTCAAAAATGCCATTCTGATCATCGGCAGATGTAAATAATTACAATTGCTACCAATAAGATATTCGAAATGTACTGTCATTGCTTGTAAATCAGGGCGGGGGCAGGTAAACTTTCCTCTCTACTCTCCTCAGACTCCAAATTAGCTACTCAGTAAATTTTAGGAATCAGTCTAAATCGGCCAAGGAGGCCTGGCTAGCAATTTTTAACGCGGCTGTCAGTCTTAAATCTCGAACTCACTAAAAGCCCCAGGTTGGTAAAAATACTGGGGGTTTCCGTGGGAATGAGGTAAAAGGCGACTGGTGAGAGAACAAAGGCGGCGCGTCCCCGTAAAAGGCCGTCCGGCCCCGGCCTTACGAAAGACGGGGGCCGCGGGTGGAGGGTGTCCGGGTGGGTGCCCTATGCCGCGCGGCCCCGGCGCTCTTCTGCGGGGCCCGCCCCGGCCAGGCACCTCAGCTGGTGCACGGGAGGGTGCAACCGAGTCGGGCACGCCAGACGGGAAGGCGCATGAGAAGGGACGCGGGGGCCGAGGCCGGGCTGCTGGCCGAGTGAGTGAGCGGGTGGGAGACTTGCGAAACACGCTGCGGCCTCGTCCCCGGACAGGACCGAAATCACGTGGCTGCCAGGGCCAGGAGTAGAAGCCACCCAGAAAGAGCACGCGGGAAGGGAGGAGCGCCTAGGGACAGCGGGCGACATCCCCTGCAGTTCCCTTCCGCGAGGCCCCGCCCCTCTCGCTTATGTAATAGGGGCGCGCTGCCATTGGCCCTCGCGACCGGAAGGGTGCAGGCGTGCTAGAGGGGTGGAGCGGGAGGCCGCCGCAGGAAGGCGAGGGGGCGGGGCCGCGAGGCGCTGGCGGCGCTGGGGTGACTGGGAGCGCGGCGCGGCGTGCGCGGGCACGAGGCCGAGTGGCCTGCCTAAGGCTCAGGCGGCTTCGGGCGCGCGCGGCGGCGGGTGTGCGAGGCGCGGGCTGTTGTGTTCCCGGCTCTCCTCTTTCCCCTCTTTGGCGGGTGGAGGAGGCCGAAGCGGTGCTGGGTGCGCTCCCCCTTCCTTCCCTCCGCGACTTTCCCCGGCCCTCTCGCGCTGCGCGGTCTCTCCGACGCAAGACTGTCCCGGCCCGGGTGAGCGGCGGCAGGGGCGGCGCTGACGCCGCAGGACGCCCGGGAATCAGGGTGGGGGAAGCCGGCGAGGGGCGGCTGGGACCGTGGGGCGCGGGGGCGCCGGCCTCCCGGGAGGCGGCGGGGCCCGTCCCGGCGCGGGCCCCGGAAAGGAAGGGAAGCTCGGGTGCCTGCCAGGCCCTGCAGGTGGCCGGGTCGCAGGCCGGCCGCGGGAGCAGCGGTAACTTTACCCGCTGGCGACAGCAGCTGGTCGGTATCTCGAGGCCGGGCTCTCGGCGACCCAAGGGGCCGGGTTTCGTACAACCAAGGCCTCCAGCTGACAAATCTCGGGCCAGGGTCCTTGAGGACTGGCGGGTAGGTGAGGGTTATGTGGTCTTTGGTGTCTGGAAGGAGGAGGGGGCTCACTGAGGCGGGAGAAGACCTGGGAAAGGTGCTGCAGGCTGCAGCTGGGTTATTGGAGTGTTGAGTGAAGGCGCCCTTACTCTAGTGATTTCTCCCGCCCTTCTCCCCAGATGGTTGTAGTTTAAAAAGCTAGGGTCAGGATGTTGAACACTACTGCCTGGGCTTCTTCCTTTCAGATGGTTACGGATAATCAGCCTACTTCCTGAATCCAGAATCTTTTTCTTAATTCTTGGTTTGCTTTTAAAAGGATCTTTGGAACAGGGCTTACTTGTTGCCTCCTGCGAAAGCTCCTCATTTTGAAAGAACTCGTCCGTTCTACACTTCCCTTTTTGCAGTCCCCTCGGAAAAGCACACTAAATAAGAGTTACATTAAAAACCAGCTTTTAGGTTATTTGTAAACGATTTCTTGCCCTTCCATTTGTCATATTTAATCAGGGAGAAGTTATGCATACGATTTTGCAGAAAATTCGATTGGTTTGAGAACAAATCTTAAGTTGAGCTGTCCAAAAGCAGGTGGTTTGTTCGTTTGCATTTTGGCTTTCAGAAAGGAAATCAATGCAGTGTGCTGTCAGAAGTTAGGGGCCTACCCCATGCTGTTAGCCTGTTTGATAAAATTTCTTTTGCCTAGTTTTCTGTCTCAAAAATAAGAACAAAGGACAACTCCCTTTTTTTTAAAGTTCTTATGACTTTTTGTTACTGTTGCTAGGTGGCAATGAAAAATGGGTTAATCTGTCATATAATTTTTATTTTGTTAATCTTATGATATTGTACAGATCACTGCATGAACATGTCATCAAAATAGTTAATAGCTTCTAGATAGCAAGGAAACTTATGGAATTAGTGGTCTGCCATTGTGTAAGATTTTTCTTCAGTGTTAACGGTTAGGATTTTAATTGTTAAGAATTGTTTAAAACAATTTTATCCACAAAAGCAGTGTATTAACATACATAAAATACATTATGTTTAAGAGTTAAGATTAAGATAAAAGAGATACCTGGAGTATTCTAACATAGGTTCTGATACTAAGACATTGAGACATTGAGAATGTTACAAAACATTGGTGTACATAAATATTGAACACCTGACTGCTCTCATCCGAATATACTTTAAGTATTCTTTTGAAAAAAATAATGCATTTGGCTTAAAATTAATAAGGTTTAATAAAAAATTGAAGCATAGTTGTAGGAACTAACAGCTGGTAGTAGCCACCATTATTTGGTAGGAATTGGGTTCTGGTATTAAGCTGGCATACTAAACATTTTTATAATTGGTAAGATCTTCAGCTGGCTTTGAAGAAGAAAAAAAGAAAACCATTGATCCTCTTCTGAAATTATGACTTTAAATTCACAATGCTAGTGGGAGCTTGTCCGATCAGTGTATTTACTTATTGTGTCCCCACATCCCCTTTTTTGGAGGTGGGATGGGGAGTTAGTTTTTATGAAATGCTTAGACTTTACAATCATTATATAATTAGGGTTCCCATCAGAAAAACCAGCACTCTTGAACATTTTTAACTTGTTTAATAGAAGTCTTTAATTTTAATGAGAAAGTAAAAGTAACTTTTCTCAATGACAATTATTTTTAATTAACTCACATATGTTCACTTTTGACCACCAATAACAAAAAAAGTGGTACCTTTCAACTTTGTAAGGGTGTCCCTACCCTTAAATTAGGTTCATTCTCTCAACTGGGAACTAATTAAATCTCATAATGACCATTTAGGAAAAATTAGAATGGCACAGTAATTTCATGAAACCTAAGTATTTAAGAGAATAATTCCCCTTTGGTGGCATAATCTCCTTTAGAAGGACTAGTTAATAGCTCTTACTTGTCTTAAACAGTTAAGAATTGCAAGTCACAACTGTAAATACCAGAAAGGGAAAGTTACTTTGCAAAGTAACCAAATAAATGTTAGGGGGAAGCTAAACTTTTGGGGAAAGCTTTTGAAGATTATATAAAGTGAACAATCTTAGGTATATAGCTCAGAACCAAGGGGAACCATTCCTGACTTAAATGATTATAATTGCTGGGCACACTGGCACATTCTTATAATTCCAGTGATGTGGAAGGCTGAGACAGGAGGATCTCAAGTTCCAGACCACCCTGGGTAACTTAGTGGGGCCCTATCTCAAAATAAAATATAAACTTACATCCAGTGAGGTTAAAGCGCTCCTAGCAATAATTCCTTACAGTATAGGAAAAAAAAAAAAAGTTTAAAAAAATTAGGTATATAGCTCAATGAATTTTTACAAATAAACATACTGTGTAACCATTACCTCGTTCAAGATACAGAACATTTTTAGCACCCCATAATTTCCTCTCTTGTCCTCTCTTCCCAAATCATTGCTCCATAAACCCCAATGTCACCTCTTTCACTTTAGAGCGTTGCTCTGGCCCCCACAGTGCTAGGTTTGGAACCCAGGACCTAGCACAGGTTAGGTTGGTGCTCAAGCACAGCTTCATACCCCAGCCTCCTTTGCCTCTTTTGAATTTTATATAATGTATATTCTTTGTAACTGATTTATTTAACATTCAGATACAAACTTGGTGTCACTTGAAACAATAATTATTTTAGAATGCTGCTTAGTATTTCATTGTATGTATTGTGTTTGTGTGCACATTGATGTATCCATTTTACAGTTGTTGAGCAGTTGGATTGTTCCTAGTTTTGAAACAGGTTTTCTGAACTTTCTTGTATTTATCTTGTGTGTATATATTTTTATTTTTGTTGAATATATACCAACAGAGGTCATAGACAACTGCCAACCAGTTTTATTTCCTCCTCAGTGGTTGATTCTACCAGTTTATAATCCAGTAGCATTGTCTGTGAGAGTTTAAAACCCATACATTTTGATTGCCTAAAGTTTCTATAAAATTTAAGGCTTTAACTCTGAGATGGTTATTTAGATTACTCAATATTAGAATAATTAAGTCACTCTAATGCCTTAACTTCTGTTTTTAGATATGGCTCGTGGACAGCAGAAGATTCAGTCTCAGCAAAAAAATGCCAAAAAGCAGGCTGGACAAAAGAAGAAACAAGGACACGACCAAAAGGCTGCTGCCAAAGCTGCCTTAATATATACCTGCACTGTCTGTAGGGTAAGAGGGCTTGAAAGACATTGCTTGGTGGACAATTCTTTCATTGTAAATTGATTTGTATAGGTTAATATTTTGTAACGCTAGCAAAATAGATGGTTTGTTTGAAATAGTAGATTTGACAGCTGGTTGTTTTAGGAATTTGTCTTCATGTACCCATTTACAAAGCTTTGTGCATGGCTTCTTTGGCCAGATGCAGATTTCTATGATCTGAGGAACAAAGAATGAAACAAGACTTTTTCTTTATGTAGGATAAAGATGTTTTTATGAGGGAATGTAATATACCTTGAACTTTGTAAGAAACTTAGGTCTACATTCTTGATATAGATTTGACTAAACTTTGTTACTATGCTAGTAAAAATACTTCTGATTATGAATATGGCTTTTAATTTGTTTTCTTTCACTAAAATCCAGAGTTAGAGTGTATAGTAAAATCATATAGAATGTATTCATGTTGAAGGCTATTATTAGAATTAATTTGTTTTCATAAATTTAAAGAATTGAGCAACAAACAGCATCTGTGGCGTGCTTACCGTGTGTCAGACATACAATCACACGTTTAGCCCACATAACAATCCTAACATAATCACACACCTAGCTCTCCAGCCCCCTTACCTGAGTGGAATTGATGGTATGGACGGCAAAGGTTTTTTGTTGTTGTTTTTTCTTTTTACTATTATTATTATTGTAGATGGACACAATACCGTTATTTATTTTTATGTGGTGCTGAAGATCCAACCCAGGGCCTCATGTGTGAGGCAAGCACTCTACCACTGAGCCACAACCCTAGCCCATGGCAAAGGATCTTGATAAGACATGATTCCTGGACTGAAGTTTGTCATCTATTTGAGTTATAACAAATAAAAAAGAAGTTTTTAACTACACAAGAATTCTTATTAGTAGCATAACAGAGCTTGTCTGTAATCCTACCGGGTTTAGGAGATTGAGGCAGGAAGATCACAAGTTCAAAGCCAGCTCAAGAACTCAGCAAGACACTGTCTCAAAATAAAAACAAAGGGCTGGGGGCATGGCTCAGGGGTTAAGTATCTCTTGAGTTCAATCCCTGGTAACCTTCCCTCCCCCCAGGGGAAAAAAATTTAGAGGGAACCTATTACATTAAATACCTTGTTCACATTGAGCTTTGATACACTCAAAATGATGGAATTGAGCAGCTTCTGATTCTGTTTGAAAAGAGGGTGAAAATAAATTTTACTAGGTTAATGATGAAGAAATACCTTGACCTAAAAGTACAAGAATTAGTTCACATATTTAAAAACTCAAAACCTTTTATTTTATGTTTTATATATTTGAGCATATTAAAGAGTAAATGAATTAAGGTCTTTGCCAAAGGAATTCATTGTTATGTAGTGTGTTATTTGAGAGCTGAAATGCCTAGCATTGGGTTAAAAACAGGTCTTAGGCAAAGTAAATTCTGGGGTTTAGTTTCCTTAGCATGTAGAACAAGAATGATAGTAGAAGCTAGAGATTACTGTGGAAGTTTGTGAAAAATTAAGGTAAAATATTTGACGCAATAAGATGTCAGTAAACATTACCTGTTGTTTGCTATTAATGAGATAAACAAATACTTTTCTATGTGACTTTCCCCTTTTTTGTTAAATGTAAGAATGAGGGTTTTTTTTTGGGGGGGGGCAAGTTTCCTCTTCATATGCTAGCTGCTAAGTTGTTGTAGCTTAAAGGCAATTTGTGATAATTGTCTATTATAAACAAGTTCAGGGTTTTAAAAGGTAACATGTTTTTTATTTCATACATGAAGTCCATTTCTTCTTTTTTGTATAATTTTTAAATTAGACACAAATGCCAGACCCTAAGACCTTCAAGCAGCACTTTGAAAGCAAGCATCCTAAGACTCCACTTCCTCCAGAATTGGCCGATGTTCAGGCATAAAGTTGTTTACAGGTAATTGACCTTTTTTTTTTGTCTGTCAATGTCAGACTTAAATACAAGAGCAAAACTAACTTCTTCAACTGTGAGGTTAATTTCTGATTTCTGAGTCTTTATTACTACTTCTTTTTAATGTTTAACTTCGTTACTAGAACCTAACAATTGTACTTATAGTTTACTAGAATGTTTTATAATTATCAAAAGTTTTTTTCCTCAGATCACTTCCTTTGAAACATCCCAAGTTTTTACTACTGTACCAAAATGGGGTCAGGGGTGGGGGAATGAGTGAATATTGGCCATCTCTAGCTCAAGAATGAAAGACTTATCAGCTGCAAGAAAATAGTTATTTCTAAGGTTTTTAAGGGCCTTCCTCCCAAAAATGATGCAAACCAATTTCCTGAGCACATTTTTACAGTTATTTTTATTTAATGGTGCTTAGCAGAGCTTCTAAATATTAAATATAGTATAAAATGTAGGCATACACTAAAACCTTTTTTGAAAATAATCAGTTTACACTTTTTATGTGCTTGGATTTTTTACCCCTAAATGGTGTGTGTGGTCTTTCATTTTAGACATTTGAAATGCATTATTAACTTGGATTTGTACAATGGGTATGTTCACTGAAATTTTCCTTATGTTTTATAGGTGAATTCATGACACCTTTGACTCTTCTACTGTCTCAGACCTTAGGTAACAAACCTGCAGCTGCTTTTCTAACAAACTGTTGATCAGCAAAAATAAAGGGGCTACAGAAACACTCATTTTTATGCTGTTCCCTTTTGGGCTTCATGCAAAGACAATTCTGTGTAAATGTACAGTTGACTCTGATTTGGAAATCTGAAAATCAGTCCATCCTTGTTATAAAAATTTTTTTATAATTGTAATTATATTGATGTTCATATTGTGTAAAATAACTCATCTAATAAAGTAGTACTTTGATTTTACAACATCACAGGATAAATGGTTCTACAGATTCTGTTCTAACTTTCCTTATTTGCCTTATAAAAATCTAATGAATTCAGCAGCTAGAATTACAAACGCAACTTTTATCTCCCTTTCTCAGCTCAGTGCAGGTTCCTTAAACTAAAGCAGACTCATTCATTTAAATTGTGCATGTAATTTTGTTGGCAGCTGATGATTTAGGTAAAGAATGACTTTATCTGCTGCCTTAGAATATTGTAGTTAAGTATCATGCCCCCAATGATCATTTCACATGTTTAGAATTGACAAATCTAAATTTCCTGTATGAATTGATTGGGTATAGCTACCAGTCAGGGGTACCCTGTAGAAAACTAATACATTTGTAAAAACAATTGGATTATCAGTGAGCCCTTCTAAAAAATAAGTTTCTGAAGTATATGTCAAAACAAAAATAATCATTAGTCCTATTGTTTAATAGAAAATATGATGGAACAAATGTGAACTGGTAAAAAGATTTTTTTATAAATTATAGTGGATTTATTTGCAAATTGTTCAAGCTCTTTAATTTGAAATTGAAGCATAATTTTTGAAGGAGTTTTAGGAAGTTATTAATTATTTGGCCAATTTTATGAATGAATTTTTGCATTAACAGGAATTGGAATTATTTGTGATTGGTTAATTCCCAGAATCCTCTCTATTGAAACATTGAATTTAGGAATTAGCATTCTGGTTGTTCCTAAAATCAGACCATGTATTATAGTATGACTTCCATTCAAACTAGAAAAGTATTAAAATCAACCAGTATGCTCAATCTTGGGGATTAAGGATGGGAGGTGCTTTTGTTCAGTTGGATAAAGTAAATGCTACCCAGTTAAGGAAAACTCAACTTTAGTGTTCTTTTAATTTGCTTTTGTTGACTATTAACTTGTACAAATGAAACTGCTGTAACTCAGTTTAAATTTTAAAATTAACATAATAGGAAGAACACTAAAATATTTACTGCTAACTGCTTAGAGCCGCATATCTGATCCTGTGGATTACAAAATGCATTCCCTCCTTCTGCTGTAACTCATTGCTGCATTTGTTTTGTAGCTCCACATACTCTGCCCACCTTGTTTGTCTTCACTGTAAGTTTAAAATAAGATGTTTGCAAGGAAAAGCTCCAGTGCTGATAGTTTCTTAGCAACTCCTATTCTTAGACCCTTATTTTTAAAATACAGTTCTTTTGTTTCATGTATTTAATTTCCTAAGTTTCAGACTTAATGTTGTTTCCTAATATGTCAATTGCCAGAACATTAGTTCTACCTAATTTCTTGTGGTGGTTATTGTAGAAGTTCTGGTTAAATTACAATTTATAAGTTTTTGAAAGTGCTTTGAGCATATGTGTGTTTATTTTTAGTAACAAATCATTTAAAACCCATTCACAAATTTTGGTTTAAATTTTTTTTTCATTTGTTTTACTGACTGTAATTCAGAATAAAATTTTTTGTTCTTGTATTTAACCCTTTTTTTTTATAAGCAGCTGAAGACACCATATTTAACTCTCTATCTCAGTGATAGGGAAATAGTCGGATTGATCTTATATAAGACATTAATTCTCAATATGGGGATTATTAGTACAGTCCCCTTTTTGTGTTTTCGGTTAAATCTGCTATAAGAAAAAAAATTCCAAGTCTTAAATATCTTTGTTTATTTAATTTGAAGATTCTTTAACAGATAACAGCAAAGTTTATTTAAAAACTGTTATGGTGTCTTCAAAGACTTGATAAAATACACTGAGAGAATTGCCATTCTGTATTTACATTAGTTGCCAAAAGAAACGGGGTTAAGATTAAACTTGTTTCCATTCTCTTCAAATGGATATCCCCATGTTTAATTGACACACTGGGGCCTCAGTTGTGTGCTGTAATGTCTTATTAAAGAAGATATTAAAGAAAACTAAACTAGTCTAATTTCTTTTAACATTTTAAGAGGTTTTGATATTGCCTCTTTTTATTTCTTCCTTTCTAAACTTAGAAGAATTGTCTCTTGAGTGTAGCTTGAGTTCTAAGAACGACAAGAGATGTCTTTCATTTTTCATTGTTTTTCTTACATTCTTCTGTGTATTTGGGGTCTGTAGAATACTTCTTAAGAATGAACAGAAAGAGTTTATCATTCTGAAACCTTGCAAGTTAGAATAAGTGAGTTGTTGGAAGGGGGACGTAATTACTGTTAACATAAAGATAATGCAAAACAAAAAATACTTAGATCAATTAATTGAACTAGATGGATAAGTCCTTGATGACCTTGATTTCCATTTTAAGATAATACTTTTGGTTTTGTATTAAAGACACTACATAGATAATAATCACATCATAATTCAAACCTGAGATGCAGCATGAATAAGGTAAAATTTACAAACATTACTCCCCCCCACACACACCCATTCCTTATTTTTCATTCTTGTAATACTTGGAACATACTTGGCCTATAATTCCAGGGACTTTGGAGGCTGAGGCAAGAGATTGCAAGTTCAAAACAACTTAGGCCCTAAGCAGCTTAGTGAGACCATGTCTCAAAAAAGGGATGTGGGTATGTGGCTAAGTGGTTAAGTGCTCCTGGGTTCAATTCCTAGTACCAAATAATAGTGTGGCTGGTGTAAAGGACTGTTCCCTAATACATGATCAATCACACTCCAAACTATAATTGAAATGTTATATTTAAACCACTCAGTCTGAAATGATTTGTACTAGATTTCTAGTTTGGGGGTTTGTTTAAGAGTGTATGGTAGTAAAGATCAACACTAGGGGGTTGTGTTTACTGTGACTTTGCACTCTGAAATAGTTCAAAGTAGCTTAATTTTCATAGAAATTTTAAAAATATAAGACCATTCATTGTGCAGATTTGATAAAACATCTATTTGAAAGAATAGATGTTTTATTAAGAAAAGTTCATCCTGTCATTAATTGTGTATTACCATGTTAAACTGAAAATATCTTTTTCATTTTAAATGTTCTTTTGGTAAGTTGTTTACTGAATTACTTTTTTTTTTTTTTTTAAACCACCAGTCTTTAGTTTCAATTCTTTGCATAGAGTGTAATAGTATGATTCCAAATTTAAAATTTTGTATCTACAGAGACAGATTTCAGTCATTTATTATTTGTGTTCATATGGGTATGTTTTCAGTATGAATTATATTAAAATCATACTACTCTTTAGTCATTTTTACGTACATAGCATCATTATCTTTAATGGCTTAGTTTTTGTAGACCAAATAAGTATTGCACTTTATCACTACTTCTGTATTATAAATTTCAAATGGGACTTGCATTTTGGATTCTACTTTATTAAAATCCTAATTACCGGGAAGGACACCATCATATTTCCAATGTCAGCCAGTTTCTGGGTCACATGTATCAAACAACTGAGGTATTTTTTTCAGATATAGAATCTTTTTTAAGCTCTTTACCAGAATTTTTTACTCATTAAATGGGAACATGGCAAGCTTTGTTTATTAATACGCTACTTTAAAAATAAATAAATAATCATATCGAGACTTCAATATCTCGTAAAATGAATTAGATTATGAAAATTTGAAATACCTTTTTTCAGAGGTATTCATATAAACTTTATATTATAATTTGTACCAAGTTCAGACTATTGTTCCCTCATAATCCTTTTGCCAGGAAGAGTTACAGACAGTGGCCTTTTGGGCTGAGAATACTGCTTGTTGATGCAGGACACTTTTGCAGAGAAATCAGCTGTAATTTAGATGACCTTTGAACTAATGGTTTTGAAAATTATGTCAAGTCTTATTTTTGACATAGAAGACATGTATTTTTTAAATCTGGATCTCTTCAACTTTTTTTTTTTAAAAAAAATACCTAGTTTGGGGATAATTTAGACTTACAGAAAAATTGTAGTACGAGAGCATTCTCGTACACCGCTCACCCAATTTTAGTTTCCCCTAATATAATAACATTACTGTGGTATGTTTGTCAAAACTAAGAAAACAGCATTGGTATGTTTCTTTTAACCAGTTTTTGTGTTATTGACCTTTTTCTGTTCCAGGATTCAATTCAGGGCACCCTATTGCTCTTGGTTTGTCTTTTCTCCTTAGTCTCTGATCTGTGACAGTTTCTGTCTCCCCTGGGGTTTCATGACATTGACAATTTTCTACATGGGTTAACTATGATGTAGAGGGTTCCTCATTTTGGATTTGCCTGACATTTGCCTCTTCGTTTCCCTGGGATAACAGATTATTGGAAAGAAGGCACAGAGGTACAGTGCCCTTCTCATCACATCATCTTAGATATACAGTGTTAGCAAAGGTGATGTTACCCTTCATTACTTAGTGTCCGCCAGGTTTCTGTATTGGGAACTTATTATGTTTTCCTTTCCATGGACAACTTTTGGGAAGTCCAGCCCTTCCTGAAAGGGAATGGGGATTTAGTTCTCACCTGTTGGAGGGGTAATGTGCGTGCGTGTGTGTTTATTATTTGGAGTCCTGATCTGACATTTCTGTATGTGGGAGAGAAAGATGGGGATCAAACCCAGGGCCATGTTCTTGTTAGGTAAGTACTCTACCACTGAGCTACATTCCCAATCCTAAAGGTCTTATAGAATTCTATATTTGTTTATTTTCCACATTTACTTGTTAAGGCACTTATTTATATTTATGGACTCATAATTCAATGAGTAATTCATATTTATTTTGTTATTCACATTTTTTAAGCTTTGGGTTTGGGGAGCTTTTTCAGTTGGCTTCTGTTTCTTTTGATATGCTTCATCTTTTTGGTGTGGTGGTGGTGGTTTTGTTTTTTGGTTTCAAGAATGTCCTTAAGTATTAAAAGTATAAGATGCTTCAGGCTCATCTAGTACTTTCCCAACCTTAGAATGAGCCATTTCTCTAAGAAAACTTGAGTTTTTGATTGGAGAATGATATTTAGAAACCCAGATCTGGGTGCTAAGTGTGAAATGATCTTTTGGTGTTTTGTTTGTTTTAATTATGAAATGTTGATCATTTTTCTATCATTAGGTAATATTTGA